ACAGTGAAAAATGTCTTTTGCTGAGTTTAAGTATTTTTGGTTTCCCTTTTGTTTATAGTCTATACACGTAATCGTTCAGCCTACCTGCAGCTTCCAGAGGAAGTCGAGACGAGCGGTGGACTCCACCTGCTGGCCGTGCAAGTAGAGAGCCAGAACAAAAACTGTGAGGATTATAGGAGTCATGACCTTTAGGGAGACCTTGGTCACATCGTCGCAGCTGAGGAGGGAAAGATGAGCAATGAATGAGTGTCTTCAATATTAAAACTGTTCTGCAGTTTTATTGGAACCAAATCTGGAGAACAGCCAAGAAAGAGTCATGTCTACAAACTATATGGGCCTCTTAAAGTAGATATAATCAAATATACAACTTAACATACTGCTGCAGAGAATCATTAACAGGTTTTAATTGCCTCAGGAAAAAAAGAGCATATTTAAAAAAAATAGAGCTAAACATGAAAGTAGGTCTATTAGAATATAAATCTTATTTAAAAAGTAGGCTAATTTTAACCTAATCCACAGTACTGTGACACAATAGAGAGTTTTCAGGTTGAAAACTTGGAAAACAGTGACTGTGTTAGTGTTGCCGGTAGGGGACTCACAATCTGTTGGCAATGACCAGCATGTCTGCGTTGTCGAACAGGGCCACCTGAGGCCACTCCACTAGCAGGAGGAAAGTGAGCTGGATGAACAGCATCAGAGCCAGCTTCCCTATGCTGCTGATGTGCAGGAACACAGAGCAGGCCAGCAGGGTCAGCAATACGCTGTAGCTGAAATACTGCAACACAGAGGAAACAGAGACAAAGGGAGGAGGAGGAAGAAGAGAAGTAGATTTAGGTTTAGAGTGATAAGTCAAGATTTCACCAATGCGGGAAAACAAACATGAACACGAAGAACGCACCTATGATTCAGTGTGCATGTGCAAAAGCAAATACAAAAACCCCTTTTTCAAATATTGGCCATGTAAGAGCGCTGTGTTCATTAAACTGCCCAGGGGATGATACAAAGTGACGCACACAAAGAACCACTTCGAACTTCTAACATTCGCCCCCCCTCGGTTTCATGAAATCTTAACCACAACTGCAAGCGTGCACGAGTGAGAACAGACATTTTTAGCATGAGCGCTACAGAGGTTCAAGCACATCATAAACCTTTACTTCTCTCTCTCTTTGTCACTAAGAGCAGGCTCTCTCATTCTCCATGTGGGTATCCGTAACAGCAACGAGGTGCTACAGCTGCTCTCACGCCTCGCACTCAAACTGTGAAAACGGTCTCTTCTGGATTAGGAATAATGAAAATGCGTCACAGACAAATATTTTAATCTTGCTGCAAATTACAAACAAAATTCAGTGAGATAAGACACGACTTCTGCTGTGGACACTCTCCAAACAATTCTGTTTCTTAGTGAGTGCTTCATAAAATCTGCCTCCTGGCTCTTATGAAAAAGCGACCCGAGGTGCTCATTCAGACATGAAAGGCACACGTTCAGAGGCCGTCAGAAGGGAACGAATGTCTGAAAGTGGCTTTACAGACACACAGGCTTTTTAAAAAATGCTGTGGAGCTGACCTCTGGAAAAGGGCAGGGCATTGTCTGGCTGGAACACAGAGTCGAACCGTTGCTGGTCAGGTTATAAAGCAGGCAGGAAGTCATTGATGTGTTCAACTCCTTGGCCACACACTCCTTCAGGTTCTCTCTGCTGCATGTAAACTGGCAAGAGAGAAGGAAACAGTTTGTCATTAAAGAGTCAATAATTGGAATCAGCGAGGAAGAGAAGCACATGTCATGCCTTATATTGCAGCACATATGGTGCTGGTTTTAGGAGGAAGTACAACATGTTTGCTGATTATTAAATAACTTTGACCAAGAGATATACAGCGAAGGACATTTTTGCATAGTTTCTAGTTTTCATTGCTCCTCTCAGGTAAAAATAATGACTATAGGCATGTGTAAATTAATAAAGTCCTAGCAAACAAGGGGAACCTCAAGGGCTGTAAAAAGAAGCCACGAAGCTTCTCTCTTGGCCAAATGTGTTAATCCTCATGTTAAAATGCTCAGCTACACTTTTCATAGTGTATTTACATTCTGGTACAAAAAAAGGTCCCTTAACACATTTTTAGTGGACTCATCTCACAAAAAATCAGTCTTTCTATGTGTTGCAGCCCATCTGAGAAGTTTTGTTTAGTGAAATTCATCTGTTACTTATGAACAAATTAACAGTGTATATGTGTGTCTGTGCTTTGCATCCTTACCGTTCATAAATAAAGCTTGCTAACCAAAGCTTGATAGCATTAGCTGACAACATAGCACTCTGCACCGAGCACTGCGAATACGTTTTAATTCTGAACTTCAAAAATCCAACATGGCACCAACACTCAAGCTTAAAAACGTGTGTTCAGGGGGGCAATGCCCATCTTTTATATAGAGATTTTGCCTTGAGCAGTATTTATGTCGAAATGCTGTATCTGATTATACCCGATACACTAGAAGTTTTCAGTATTCATATAGTCACGCATGTATGGAGCACATATAAAACTGAATGGATCTTTATAATGATCACATGGAGAAAATATTGATTTCTACAACCTCATCCGTCACAGTGATGGATTATGATTAATTGCCTCTATCCAGCAACATCCATATAGCCAGGATAGTGCTTAATTACTTTATGTTAAAGTAATGTGTAATAATATTTCAAATATAAGTATTTCATGATGCAAAAAAGCATCAAAATGAAGACAGTCCATACCATGTTAGCAAAAGAAGAGATATAGAGGAGGAGGATGGTGAAGACGGCCACCAGTGTGCTGTTTGCTCGAGATCGGACTATTTTCTTGGTCACTGTCTGCAAGGCAGCTGGAAAAAGCTTTGATACAGACAGCAGGGAGAGCATCAGATAAGGGAGAGTTAATGCCATTAGCGATGCTGGCTGAAAACATGTAATAATGTCTCTTATCTGCAAGAGGAACCACATGAGCGGCGAAGGCCTTTGTTTCGTACTTTGATGCAGGAGTAGATGGCACAGACGAAGAGGATGTTGGCGAGGATGACGAAGACACTAATGTAAAGACCGAGCATAAGCGGTGTTCTGAGGAATAGATGAAAACAGAGTCATTAAGATGTACAACTCTAATGAACTCCTCATAAACGAATCAAGAGCACATTTCCTGTGCACAATTCAGTATAACTGGAAAAGGCAACTGGTCAAAGAGAACTACTTACTTTGGGAAAATAATAACTTGAATGAAGCAGATACAGCAGAAGACAAAAAGTATGCAGGCCACATATCCCCCGAAACGATCGTCAACTTTTTTAGAGTACTAAAGAAAAGACAACGAATGAGAAATCAGATGAACTGCAGTCCAATTTACAATTTTTCTTCTTTTAGGGACGTTTTGGGGTGAATTTCGATTTAATTTTTTGTCAAATGTCAACCTTTTTCTCAAGTTCTTCAGTCTGAAAAGTGAGCAGAAACTTCTTGACATGATCTTTCCTCAGCTGGTCAATGCTGCGCGCATCGATGGCCCGTCCGAGAAACTCATCCACCTCATCCTCGGTGTTCAGTGCCTCCTGAGTACAGCGACTGTGAAGTACGGGGAACAATAGGTCACTGTCATTGCTGCGTGTTTGCTTCACTGTGAAAGTGTGTGTGTGTGCGTGTACATGTTTAGACATCTTTGTGAGGGCAGAAAATTGGCACGTTACTACCCTAAGTGTGGAGCAACAGTCACTTATAGGGACAAAATGCCAGTCCCCACGAGGTTGAAGGCATCGAGGCTCAAAATGTGTTTTAGTGTCAGGATTACAATTGGGTTATGGTTAGGTTTAGGCAATGGGAAAGTATTATGTCGATGAGATGTCCTCACTAAGACATGAAACGAGTGTGTGTGTGTGTACATGAGGATGTTGCCCTATGTGACACAGAGGATGTCTCAGAGATAACATGGCATTAGTGTGTTTGATGGATCCGACTGTGCAAAACCAACAGTTTACCCTAAAGTTAAACTGCCACAGTGACAGCTGACAAATCAAACACTTGAAACTGGAGCCCACCCAAAAAAAAACCCCACTCACTTTTCTTTGCTGGATGCTTCATCGATGCCCTGAGAAAAACAAAAAGAGAGAGTGAAAACCAAAAGAAAAAACAGGATAGAAAAAGAAACAAAGGGAAAGAGATTATCATGTGGTCACAGTACGACTGAAAAATAGACACAGACTCAGACATCTGCACAGCTAATCCCTGTGAGCCAGACTGATGTTTTAATTAATGCTGGGAGGCTTCAAATTACACCCTCTTTGCCCCTAGGGCTGAAACCCTTTGAGATGGTGAAAAAAAGGAGGAGGAGGGAAAAGAATGTACGAAAGAAAAGGAAATGAGACTTCAAACATAGAGAGAGAGGATGTCAGAAAAAGTGTGTGAAAAAGAAAACATATGCAGCTGCAGACTCATCATATTAGCTCGAATAGTGAACTAGGAATCCTT